CAGTGTCACAGTGATAGGGACTGGTAGAGCTTCATTCAGCCATTTCTGGCTTTGAGGTAAAAGGAGACCATGAACCACGGAAGATGGGAAAACTTCTAGAAGCTGGAAAAGGCAAGAAAGCAGGTTCTCTCCCACATGACCCAGAAGGAATGCTTTCCTACTGCCACAGTGAGGCCCATGTCAGACTCGGAGCCTTGGAACTGTAGGACAATACGTTTGTTTTGTTTTAAGCTACTGAGTACATGTACTTTGTTGTAGCACCATTAGAAACAAATATGCCACCCCAGTCTCTCCCTTTCTCTTAGAATCTCAGGATCAAATTGTTCATCTCTCCCTCTTTAACATATCTCCCTGTACCTCCAAATATCTTGCTGACTAGGAGTTCCTTTCGTAGCCCTGACACAAAAACGCCTAATTCTGATGACTCAGTAGAACCTACTTCTATCAATAAAACTTGACATTTAAATACACATGCCCATATGATTTTACTGTTTCCTTTACAGAGCCTCTAATCAACTTTATTTATATAGTTTAACAAAATAAATTTCCCTCTACCAGTAGAATAAAGCTCCCTCCTGACCAATATCACCTATTATTGACTGATAATTATCATATGACGTTGGCTATTTGCCTTGATTCAGATTGTCAGGAATTTCTGCAGAGAATTTCCTACTCTTCTCCCAACATGTTCTCCCCAGTCACTCCTGATGTTTGCCTGGAACCTGTGGAACCAGGTCCCATGAACAAATATGCTCATGCTTAATGATCATTCCAAAGCCACATCTTGGACTCTTCACTCGGGTGGTTACAAAATCCTGCCTTGGGCCCTCGACCACTTTCTCTTGAATCAACATGACGATTAAATCTCACCACCACCTCACTTACTTCTCTAAAGATATTCCCAAATTTCTCTACAGGAGACCTGGCCCAGAGCCTACATTTCATCACAACTTGAGTCATCACACAGCACTTTTCATTTCCTTCATAGTTTTCTGACCTTTTGATTCTGATGCCTTGAGCTGGTTCCAGACAGCCACATCCATTGCCCTCATGAAAGTCTGAAGAAAGGTAGAGAAGGAGGGGAGAAAATTTGACTTTTCTATGCCTGTGTTCTACTTCAGAAAAATCTATTTCTGGCTTGTTTTTTTTAATGTGTCCCCCTGACTTGTAATTAATCAGCTAAAAGAGGCCCTACCTTTGCCTTCAGCTGCCAAGTGAAGGTCTTTCATTTGAGAAACAAAACCACCTGAGGCTGAGACCACTGCCATGGACAGGTCAGACATTCTTCGAGGACAGAGAGGTTATGGCTAAGGCAACTATATGCCTCATCTCAAATCTTGACAAGCCATGGATGCCCAAATGTCTCATAGGAACCCCCCCCCAATACATCCTCAGGACTCTAACACTCTGGAGCACCTTAGCAAGCCTATCACCCCCTGAACAAGATTTAAGTTTCCTGCTACTGATCTGTCTGTGTGCTCATCTGTGTGAAGAAGACAGGTGACTGAGTGTCCTCTCATAATCTAACCCCACATCCAGTTTGTTCCTATATGTTCCTTAACTGGTCCTTTCCCCAAGAAAGATACATCCTAGTCCTAACCCATGGAATCTTGAATGTGACCCCATTTGGGGAAAGAGTGTTGCATATATCAAAATGAGAACATCCGGGATTATCCACAAGATTCTTAAACCAAGTAACACATTAATACAAAAAAAAAAAATGACAGACACAGAAGAGAAAACCATGTGAGACAAAGACAGGGATTGAAATCATGCAGCCATAGAGCCACCAGAAGCAAGGAAGGATTCTAAAGCCTTTGAAGGGAGCAGGTCTTGACAATTCCTTGATTTCAGACTTCTGGCCTCCAAAACTGAATATAAATGCTATTATTTTAAGCTACCAAGTTTGCAGTTGTTAAAGCAGTCTTAGGAAATGAATCTATTCCTCATTATGCAACCTTGTTTTTTATAGGAAGGAAGAATGAAATTAGCCCAAGTGGCGCAGGAGTGGCTTGCTGTGATGATTGACTTGCAGCCTGGTTCTTCCTGCCAGGGTCCTTGTTGAGAGGCCCCTTGCTGTTCGTTTTGCTGAGATGCTGCAAAGCTCTCCCTGATGGAGCCCTGCCAAGCAGGATGCATAGCTTGCAGGAGACTCACAGGGCACATCATGTGCCTTCACTGTGTGTCATGGTTTCAATCCAGTATTTCATATTTGTAGAGATTTTCAAGACTGTCAGATTATAACCTGTGGGCCAAATCTATTTCATTCTCTATATCTGCAGGTGAAAATTTTACTGAAACACAATCACAACAGAAGAGCTGGATAGTTGCAACAGATACTGGATGGCCAGCAAAGCCTAAAATATTTACTACATGACCCTGAAGGAAAAGCTTACTGACCCCTGCTTAGATAAAAATAGATGTTCCCGGGGGACAGGGGACAGAGGAAAGACTCCAGATCTCTCATTTGGAGCCCTAGGAGAAAAGCTGGCAAGTTGCCCTTAATCTGACCATGGAGCCCATCAGCTGATAAACTGTTCATATACACATTGAGCCTCCACACAGGTCTCAGAACTTCACTCTTGACCAAAAGGTGTTCCTGACACATAAGGAAAGCTCCAGTGAGAAAGAATGTACAGTAATTCACATAAACAGAAGAAAGGATTTTGGAAGAACCAAAAACAATTCAACAAATAGAAGAAATTTACAATAAAAATATAGAATTAATATCCTTTGAGATATGAGAAGATATTTTATTTATATAACAGAAAACTACCCTGGGAGGCTGATGCAGGAGGACTGCATGTTCAAGCCCAGAGAATTTATGATTTGTATCTAGATGCACCCCAAAGTCTCATGCAATCATAGGTGGGGCTTTTTCAGGGGTGGTTGAATCTAGAGTGTGTGATGCTGGCATTAAGGGTGTGTAATTACTAAATCAGTCTACTGATTGGTTTGGCACCTCCCTAATCCCAGTAGTCTAGATATCATATAAAAGGGGCAGAAAGAAGCTGCTAAGGTCCCTTGCTTGCTTTGCTACCTTCTGCCCACCATGAACTATTTTCCTCTGTGAAGCTTGTCTGCCATGCCACCCTGCCTTGGAGCCAGCCATTTATGAACTGAAACCTCTACAAACTGCAAGCTAAATAAATCTTTCCTCCTTTAACTTTGGGCATCAAGTATTTTGTCTCAGCAATGAGAAAAGTAACTAAGTCACTAGGCAATTACCCTTTCTCAAATAAAACAAAACAAGAAACTAGCTACTATACTAAACAAGAATAAACTCTGGAAACACATCCACACATTTGGAATGATATCCAATTGAAAAAATAAATAGGAGTAGGTTGAAAGTCAAACAAAAGGACAAGAAGATGAAAAATAGTAGGAAAAATTAGATTAACAATTCAGGATGTCCAATATTTAACTAAAAGTGATTATAGAATAAGAAAACAGAGAAAATGGTGGGGATGAAATTAGCAAAGAAATAACATAAAATTTCTGAGAAACATATTTTTATTTTTTGTATATCACGCCAAACACAGTGCCAAGCCAAAAAAAGGCCATCACAAAATTTTAGAGCACTCAAGCAATAAAGGGAAGACTCCAAGTTGTTAGGGATAAAAGAAATTGAACAGAACAAAACAAAAAACAAAATAGATCCAGACTCCTCAATAATAGCATGAGTACCAAAAATGTGTAACAAAGCCTTCAAATTCTTGAAGTAAAATGATTTTTAACCTACAGTGCTATGTGTCAGTCAACTATGGAGATAAAATAAAAGCATTTTTAAGCCTGCATGGACTTAAAATATTTAACTCTTATGTATCCTTTCTTATAAAAGTACTAAAGGATGTATTTCAACACAACCAGGGAGTACAACCAAGAGCCAGACATGGAATCCAGAAAACAAGAGCTCAGCATGAAAGTGAGGGAAGTTCCAGGGTGACGATTTTGTATCAGACCAATAGAGAAAACACTCCAGATTAGAGCAAGAGGACTAAAGGCTGTGGAAAAGAGGACTTCTAAGAGAGAGGCAACAGAATCGATTGATCAGCCAATATACTTAAGATGTGGAAAAAATTCTGCTAGATATTTTACATGTTTGTTTCAAAAAACTGGAAGAAACGTGATACATACTAAGCTGAGCAGCATATCAGGTTTTAAAATATGGGCATTGATTTAGCAAAAATTGTTATATAATTATATTTGAAAAATCACTGGAGAGTGGGACCAGGGGATAGGTAACCAGTGAATAGAAAGTTAAATCCTTGCCTAAAATTGATAAATCAAAAACAGCTACAAAGAGCGTCTAATGTAGAAATACACAGGTAAATGCTAGAAGGAACAGAAAGCAGAAATCCCTGTAAGAAGGGATAGGAGAAAACAATCATTGCTTTTGCTTTTTTGCATAGATATGAGTAATCACTTAGTACCATTTATTTGATTGTTTTAACTATGTTTAGATTTGCAGTGTCTTCTAGACTGACCTAAGTATTAAATTATAACTAATTAAACTAAGTTTGTTTTAGAAAATTGCTTATATGAACTCCTTGTGGTCTGCAGAATTTGAAAAATCTTTACAAGAAGGAAGTGGAACACCAGACAGGCAGCCTACCTGAATTATAGTACAGTATCTTCTGTATCCTTCAGATGCCTTGAGATCTGTAGACTTTATGGGAGAGTGATACGCAAGCGGGTGTGGACCAATACGTCAGTAAGGCTAGCACAAACAGAGAGAGACATACCAAGGTCCAGTAAAGAGTTAAACTGGGGAAGAAAAGATGAAAGTCACATGTGTGCTATGACTGCAACAATGTAAAACCAGTATGTTCATAACAAATAAGAACAGGAGATATGAAAACTATTTTATTTATCAGAAATGGAATTAGAAATATTCTTTAATTTAGAATTATATGGAGATAGCTGTCATATATGTGCAAAAGTGAGTTGAAGTTTTATAGGAAATCAGCAGCATCCTTTGCTCTGCTTCCCTCCTGCAGCTTAATTGGTTACACGGAACAGTACATGGAATATGATCCTTTCATAATGCCAGCAGAACCATCTAATCCTTGGATCAGCGATGACGTCACTTTATGGGACATAGAGATGAGGTAAAAAAATGTTTTAAGGTTCTGAAGTATGAAAGATGTAGAAAAAAATCTCTCTTATTACTCCATCCCTATAACAGAAACCCCTAAGGAACCTCCACACTAAGTTCTACTTGCTCATGGTTTCTATCTTCTTATAGCTTTGAGTTGTACATGGATCCTTGGTGGCTTCTCTCTGACCTTCATATGCCATGCCAACTGGGACAGTCCCTCACCATTTTCTCGTTCTGATTTAATGATACTAGCTAGCACTTGCTCTGTACTGACCATATCACACAGTAGGTGTTTTCCACTGCATCCCCTCAACAGTAAACATTATTCTCACCATAGAACAAATGAGGAAATTGAAGCATGGTGAAGTTAGTGAGCTTGCCCAAAGCCACAGAAGTAGCAGAGTTAGGAGTGGAACCTGGGCAGAGAGCCCCAGAGCTGTGATTTTTATCATTCTACTCTTCTACAGTAAGTGAGCTCCCGTCCTGTGAGGGAAATGGATGTATTTACTTGGGAGCTATAGAACCAAGGCCCAGAGGGACTTAAGCCACTTTTAAAATTATACAAGGATGGGCCAGAGATTTAGCTCAGTGGTTCCAGTGGTTCCATTGCCTGCCCTGCAAGTGCAAGGGCCTGAGTTTGATCCCTGGTACCAAAAAAAAAAGTTATTAAAATTACAGGAGATACCCATACACCTCTGCCCCTGGGCTGGATCTCTTTTTCTTTTTTCATTTCTGTCATTCTCACATTCCCTTTCACTTTTGCTGCCTTTCTGGCATCTTTCCCTGGAATTGGAAAACCTCATAAAAATGAATAAAAGTCATAAATACTTACCATGAACAGTTCAAACTATCCACGTGTGCATAAAGAAGGAAATCCTCTCTTCCTGCAGCCCAATCTCATCTTCCAGAAAGAACCTTTGCTTGAAGTCTGATTTCTTGGCTCCCAACTGCACCAGCGCACCTGGGGTACTTCAAGGAACTCCCAGGATAGTGTAAATTGTTGATGGAAACACAGCAGTGTTTGACACATAGCAGATACTTCATGAACTACTGGCTTAAGGTAGCTCAGGGGCAACATCAGAGCACATTCCGTCCTTTTCAATGATGTTACATCTTTGCAAATCTAGGTTTTCAGAACTATTTCTGTGATCAAAAATTAATACCTTTTGATTGGCAAAAATAAATATGGAATAGGCAATGGGGTAGAGTCCAATCTGATTCCAAAGTTTGAGAAAATATTTGATGTGCAACAGGTGACTGCATGTTGTGGTTATTTAAAGAATTAAATAAAAATAACTTTTGCAAGGTATGTGTATTTCTTACATCTACTAAGTTGCTAGGACATAAATACATACTAATTTTTTGATCCTGACCTTAATAAACAAAACAATTAGTTACTTCTTTTGGCTCAGGGATACCATGAAACACTTAGTGAGACACTGAGGGTGCCATGAACTCAGAAAGGTTGGGAATCTCTAATTTAATATCTACCCTTTTAGATTTTTATGCATAGAAGATGTTCTACTCTAGCATAACTGGTTTCATTATCCATATATTGCCCAATATTCTTAATTAGCAATACATCATGAAAATCTTTCCACATAGACATCTATCCATATCCTTTTTAAATATCTACGTAACACTCCTGGCATTAATGAAGTAAAATTTATTTAACCAATCCCTGGATCATAAACACTGAAGTCATGTCTTTTTTATATAAAATAAACAATGATTCAGCTAACATCTCTATGCACAAGTCCAATTATTTCTCTAATATAAGTTTTCCAGGAGTAGAATTTCTACTAGGAATGGTATGCATATTTTAATTTTTAATTTTGGTTCATGTGCCAGATTCCTATTGAGCAAAACTATAACAAATATTTTCATGCCTACCATTTAAAAGTGCCCATTTCCTCACATCTTTATCAACCCAAACATTAGCAACCTTTTTAACTTTGGAAATCTGATAATTTTTTTTAAAACCCTCATCTTAAAGTAAAAAAAACCCTCATCTTACTATTTATTAATGTACTTGATAATCTTTTCACCTGATTATTAGATATTCATTCTTTTGTGACTTGTAAGTTCTTGTGTCTTTGCCCAGTTTTCTAGCGATTTTCTTTGCTTTGGATATTGGTGTATAAAATTGTCCTATGAGTTTGGATCATTTATTTTATCTGTTTTCCTTATTCTTTATGTTTTCCAAATCTCATTCTTTCTTCTTACTCTTTTTTCTCTTCTCTACCAATGAAACTTTTGCTCTACCAATGAAATTTGTATTGGCTTTTTCTTAACACTAGTTCTTTTTTTAGATGTAGTTACTTTTAAATCTTTTAATTACAAATGTTACTAATACTTGTGAGGTATATAAATTAAAAACTGAGGCTTCCTTTCACCTCTTCCTCCATTCTCCCTCAGTGGTATGGTAATTTGATAGAGTTTAAACCAATATTTTGCAACTTACTGTATCAACATTAAAAGGAGTATGGAGTAAGCATCTCTTACCTTTTCACTTATGTTTCTAACATGACCCAGGTAGTCTCATCCATTCCGATCCAAGAACTTAAATCTTTTTTTGGCTCAGGATCTTTTTTCTTCTTTTTCTTCTTTCTGTAATTACTGCTGCTCTTTTTTCCATTTTATCCTCTCTTCTCGGGAAAATCCTGTGATAGGAATTCTGGACCTCAGGTGGAGCTATCATATCTCTTACATTTTCTCAATTAATAATTCCCATCTCTCTAGCTTTGTATTCTATAGTCAAGTGACAGAATTTCTGGAATTGTTCTTTAAAGTCACTAGTTTGGATTTCAATGGTGTGATTATACACTTTAATGAATTTTTTTTTCTCCTGAGTGTTGGAAAGAGTGGTCGATAATCATATTTTTTTCCTAAGACATCTGATAGTTCTTGTTCTTTTTGTTTTTATAGCAGCCTACTTTGCTCTACTTATATTTACCCTCTAATCCCCTTCAAGAACAAGACCCAATTTTTTTCACATTTTATTTTTTATATTTTCATATCTCCACTCTATTTCTGCCTCATAATCTGTTTCATAGGAGTCATTGATTGAAGGATCTTCACTTTTTTGTCATTATTTCATTGCTCCAATCACTGTTCAGAGAGATGATTCTTTTCTTATTCCCAGCAATTTGGAGGAGAGCTCATTTTCTTTCAACAAAAATCTTGGCTTTCAACCCTGGCCTTACATTAAAACCACTGGGAGTGAATAAAAAATTAGAATTTCCAGCCAAATAACACATTGGGTTCTGTTTTATTGTTTTTGTTTGTTTTGGTACAGGGGATTAAACCAAGGTGCACTATGCTATGGAGCTACAGCATCAGCCTTTTTCATTTTTATCTTGAGACAGGGTCTTGCTAAGTTGCCCAGGCTAGCCTTGAACTTCAATCCTTCTGCCTCAGCTTCCTAAGTAGTTGGGTTTACAGCCATGTTCCCCTGCTCTCAACTGACACTTGAATTTTTTTTAATCTCCCAGGAAGTCTTCATCTAGAGTCTATCAGTAGCTACTAAGAACTCATTCAGCAAGAGTATGGGTCATTGGTTCTCAAATCGTGGACATTAAAAATACAGTTGCCCTGGGGTGGCTCTGGGCATCTACATGTTTAGCAATCTAGGATATTCTGGGACACACCAAGTTAAAGACTCCTGACGTGGTTTTCTTGAGTTGCCCCTGGTAGCTTTCCTCTGAGCAGTTCCCACAGCTATGTGTCAACAGGTGGGCACAGGTAAATTTCCAGGACTCCCCTCTGGGTCCTGGGTATGTGGTCCAAGAACGGACTGAAAGATTGAGTCCTCTCACAGAGTGAGACCAGGGGCTATGCTGTCCTTGGGAGGTAGAGCCCCACCTTTGGCATGGCAGCCCTGTAACCAAGTATCCTGCTCCCTTGCAAGCCAAAATGGAGTTCCTTATGCTCTCACCCCATGGTGCTTCCCAACAAGTCCACCCTTCTCCTTCTGTGATGGGGCCTGGGAGCCCCAGTTAGATCTGCTAAAGCCAATAGGAAGTATCAAGCAAACTAGAGAATCTTTAGAGGTCACCCTGCATTGCTGAGAAGTCTTTCCTCTCTTTGTTTGCTGTACTGCCCCTAGACCCAGCAGAGGCACTACCCTCTGGTCTTATTGCTAGGATTAGGAGCTGGCCAGAAAACACACCCTCCCCTTTACTTAGCAAAGCCTTTCTGCCATATAGAGTCTGTTCCATATCTCGGAGTTTCTTCTTGTGCCCCCTATTTAATGCCCACCCACTGCCTCTGCTTCCAATCCCACTGCTCAGAGCTTGATATGTTCCCAGGTTTCTGTTGAGGTACCCAGCTATTTTCTTCAGTAGATCCACTAAAATTATAAACTGCTCTGTATCAGCATTGTTGCAAGTTCAATTTGTCTGCTTCATACCTTTCTGAAATTCTTCAGAGGCATCATCTCCCAATAGGAAACTTCTGTGCCTTTACATACTGTGTTCAGGGTTTTAAAAATACTTCACTAAACTCCAGAGTCTTACCTGTCTCTCTCCCTGGTCCATTGTCTCCCCACCCCATGGTAGCTTTCTTCTCATTCAACATTGCTGCCCCCTTACAATTATTTTAGCACCTGCACCTCTGTCTGGCACACAGAAAACACTCAAAAGTATATGTTGGATGGAGGATGGGTAAATAAGTGAATGTTTCTTTGGTCATTTTCTTGGTATTTGGGGAAAGAGGAGAGGAAAGCTCATGAGCCTAATTCACTGTGATAAAATAGATTTTCTCCCTTGTTATAAGTCAGCAAAGAAACACATAATAGTTTGGGCAAATGTGGTCACGTGGCCACCTGGTTTCTCCCAACCTATCTAATACTTTATCCCTACACAGGGTGTTCCTTGTCCCTGTAACAGTGCTGTGCAGAGTTCTGCTCTTATTGTTCAGGCTCCTGCTGTAATCTAATGCCTAACCTAAGGGACATATGGGGTTCTAGCTACCTACAAGCAGAGTCAAGTTGCATAGATACAAGTGAAC